TATATACTATGGGGTACCGACCGTATTAGGAAGGGAAAGGTAACCGACCAAAGTGGGGAGGTATGAGGAGACTGTAAAGGAACGCGTCTGGTCGAGGCTGGGCCCAGTATAGTACAAGACCTAGGCCAGGGTCCTGTGATATAACCGAAAAGGGATAGAGACGGGACAGGGTCCTGAGTCTAGGTCAGGGTCGGGCAATATAACCGAAAAGGGAAAGGGGCGCGACAAGGGTCGGGGTCTGGGTCAGGGTAAAGTAATGTAACCGAAAAGGGAAACGGTCAGGGTCGGACTCAGGGTCCGGTCATATAGACGAAAGGGGAGATATTGAGGGAGAGGACCGGAGCTAGGAACATAGTCGTCAGGGGGCGGAACGGGGGATGATAGTGTACAGGCGGACGACGAGGGAACGGGAAGGTAAGCATAGGTCGCCGGGGACGGGAAGGGGAATGGAGTGTACACGAGGGCGACGAGAAGGAGTAGTCCAATAACGAAAAGATAGGGGGTGGGGCGTACCAACGGTAACAGGATTGCGAATGCCTCCTGGAGGGAGTCGAGTACCCTGACGATAACGGTTAATCACCGTGGGCATTCTATATAAGTTATGTCACAACCATAGAGTAAAGACCTGGAGTTTTCCTTAAGGTGAATCAACGTGTATCATACTTAGGGTGAAGCAGTAGAGAGGATTACGTGCTCACCATGTAACGGATGAGGGCACGATCGGCCTTTGAGCGAGGGGACCTATAATACTGGAATGTTTGAGTGCAAGTTATCCCGTATCCACTATCTTGATATAAGCATTCCCCCATAAATCCATGTACGTAGAAGAGTACCCTACATGGAAGTCAACACAACCCCAAAGAACCCGACACCTATAGTATCGCCAAGATCTATGCGATGCAAGAGGTCGGCGCTGGCGTCTGCCATTGAGAGAGGGAATATCTCGAAACACGAGAACAACAGAGCTGAAAGGAGGAGTCAGTGGCGCCCCTATGAATCCCATGCCTTGCCTTTTAATTCAACCGAGAACGTCACGTTGAGTAGGTTCTGGTAGTCACGATAGGTATGGGAAGAATCCTGATACACCCACGATCGATGCGGCAGATGGCCAAAATGCCGCGAAGGTGTTTCGTCGAGCCTACAGCTCCCCGGGATCCCCAGTATTATGTACCATCCAATAAGGGAAAGCTTGTTTTACAATCGCCACGGCTGAGATACAGTTCGCCATATCAAGCGTGTCTATGGATCGAGCCGTCTTATGACACTGACGTGTTCGATTGTTTCCTTTCATCAGCTTCTTCCCAATTTATGAGTTGTTGAGGAGTATGGGCCGCATGCCTCCTGGACTGCCGACAGCTATCCGGTCTCTTGGGCGTCGTTTAGAAGGGTCTCGACAGCGCTTATATGAAACTCCTCACACGAGCACAAACATATCACGGTCTCTACCAACAGCACTTCGCTCGACTAATAAGTTAAAGTGATCCGCTCGCTGCAGTATAATCCGCGCCCAATATCGACAGTATCTTCGATTCACATGCTCAGAAAGGCCCGATTACGGCTATGGCGGTGAAGGGAATAACATGCAGGGAGCATAACCAGACCTGATAGTGATCGTAGATTCATCGGCATCAGTAAGACTAAGGCAAGAATTTAGGAATGAGGGCGTACATTATAGAGCAAGTATGAGAGCTTATCTCCGTCTCTTGTTCGGATGAACCAGAATCTGACGCTGTTAAATGCTCCCAGGATGCCGACCAAGAATAACAGGGATGGGTATGCCGTTGGGTAGAAGAAAGCAAAGAAGAAAGACCACACAGGAATGAGGAGGACGGTCACGATGCGACTCGCAATGGGGAACACAATTGGGAGTGTCTGGCGGCCGACAAGTATATCGCCCTCTACATCCTTGAAGTCTTGTGCCTGTATGGTGGTAGAAATGACTGCGAAGATGAGCATCTGCGCAACGAGTACCTCGGATGCAGAGAAATGGTCCAGTGCTATGGTGGCCGAACCAGAGGACATGTCAGCATGACACCATCTGGGTTAGCCGAGGTTCATACCTGAGCGTCCTACATAACTAGCACCGACACTGAATGAAGAATATCCGATTCCATTCAGCACGTTCCGGGAAGTCCACTGAGATCCGAGCTTGGCCTCGTTATGCGCCCAAGTAGCGAAGGACAACGCAGCGCTTGGTATCAAGGCACCACACTGAGCAGAAAAAGCCAGGCAGGCCACGAGCAGCCCCCAACGAAATGTCCGGGCTGAGCGCATGGACAGTGCTCCAGAAGGAATTGGTCTCCAGGGCTTGTTCTTGCGATCCTCCTCAGGTTCCAAGCTCTGGTTCGAGACACAGAATTGGAGAAGGTGCAGCCAAACCCAGAGTCCTCGGACGGCAATGCATGTTGGATCCAGGCTGCCTGAGGCAAGCGTTCCGAACGCTGTCTATAAGGCGGCGGAGCCCCCAAATCATCAGTATACTCCGACCGATGACAGCTTTGAACCGCGAGAACATCTCTACGTACTGTCGGGATTAGGATACCCATGATGTCTGATCCTGTGAAGCCGTAGAGCACCGAAACAATCGATGTGTACATTGTAATGGTGAGTAGGTATTCGCGGGAGGAAGTCTTCGTGGATTGTGGGTTTGAGGAAGCATTGAAGGACGTCTCTCATTTTATGCAAGCACTCGATATTCTCGGCACCGCAATATCAAGATATGTTATATTTGATCTATCTGAGATGACACTCTAGATTTCCTCATCTTTTACATATCGACCAGATTTTTCATAGTGACTACGGGAATGATGTGGGTATCAATCCTGGTACCGCTGGTTGCACTTTCTCATCACAACTGGCCGAAAGAATGTTATGTAATCTACGGTTGGCATCTGGAACACAGTGAAAGACGTGCTATACTAGGTCTTCACCAACAACGGAGCTGCGCGGACAATGTGAATAAAATCAGAAGCATATCTTCAAGAAGCGGTGATGGAGACTTCGGTCTGGAACGACAAGTTTCTCAAAATGTTGGACAGATGCAGAGTGACCGTAGGGCGACCAATCCTAGCAAAATCATCCTTCTCCTCACTAACGCAACACCATCTGAACCCGATAGTGCAAAACATCCTCTCCTCATGTCCCCCGCAACCACCACCCTTCACAGACGTGGTGCGACCGAGTCTCGTCCCTCAGACCTCCTCGTGAATCTCACACCTGCAGCTGTACACACATGGAGATACCTGAAGCCACTGAGCGTCCCTGGTCCTCCAGAATCACGACTGTTACTATTCTACTGCATGAGTTATCGATAGATACAGGGCGCCAACCACATGCTTGTCATGGACTTCGTGTCCATTGAGAGTCGGACCTTTCAGTTATTGTACTTCAAGACCATGACGCCATTATCGAAAATATGCTCTTTTTTTAAGTGTCCGTGCTCTTCGCCTCCTTCAGCCCGAACGCCCTGTAACACATCTTCCGAAGCTCTCCCATAGTCGGCGTGTTCGCTGCTTCGAAAATGCTCGTCACGCCCTCCCGCTGCATTTGATCCATCGCTATGTCTTATCTGGCCATTGGATCTGAAGGGCCGCAATTGGCTGACTCTAGAGAGTTGTCACCGTTCCGGCATCTGGTGAAGTACCTTCAGGTGTGGTGCAGACAGGGAAAGTGGGCGCGCGGGAGACGGACAGACCTGTGTGTCCCTTGAGCCATACCTGATTTGTCTTGACCTCATCTTCTCATGTTAACTGGTAACTAGGGACTGTCGTTATGTTCAACGATGGGGCAAGATGCTCCCTAGCTCATTATTTGATCCAACGAACTGCGGTTCAATCACAGTCATTTGTACGCCCTTGAGGAATCTGCAAAGAATACCCACCGTGAGAGTCCTTAGCGGCATCAGAGCCATGCATCTTGACGAACGTCTCAAGAAGCTCCATGCCCAGCGCGAGAAGCATGATACGCTGTCAGCTTTCCCTTCAATGTCTTGTCTCTAGAATGTACCTGAGAATGTGGTGCAGAACTTCGTGATGGTTGTGCTCCGCGAACGTGCGCAGTTCAGGAAGGAACGGCTCCAATGCCTTCGGATGCTTCTTTCTGCCGAACACTGCGCGGTGTACTGGCGACGGTGTCAGAGCAGGTCCGTCGCGAGTGAAAGTCCGGTCAGTTGGTCCGTCGCTTACCGGCGTACTGCTCATGTTGGTCGCGAACTCTATTGTCAGTCATCTATGATGAGGTGACTTTGTATTTGGCGAGCACCCAGTCGGGGAACACCACTGTCAATCTGACTAACGGAAACCTGACAGGGCTTGTGTCCTATTCTTGTGGGGTCCTCCTCGAGCTTTGAGGCATACTGAAGCTTCTCCTCGGAAACCTGTTTGAAAACCACGTCTCCGATTTCAAACATGCACTCGGTCTTGGCGTGTGTAAGTGACGACGCCCGAGCTACACAGTCAAGGCATACTTCACGACGTACCTGACTCTGGGTCAATCCGTGATTGACAACGCACATGAACCACACTGTACGCATGACGTCCCGTACGCGAGGCGCAAGCTCTGCACGACCCTCCGGTGTGCTTGCCTTTACGAAGTCGATGATCGACAGTTGTTCTCATTCGACTGCAAAGACGCAGGATAAGCGTCGTAATAGGAGTGAAAGGGATCACATACTCTGACGGTCTTCCTTCGTAGGCGCAGGTGCAACCCAGCGGGGGCACCGTCGCGAGTGGCATACTAGTTTTAGCCTATCCATAGACTGAAGAGACAGTATAAGATGTGGTGGAGCACAGGAAGAAGGCGGGACGACATACTTTTAAAGTGCGGAGTGGAGAGAAGGACACGGGGGGCCGGTAGGGCTCAGTCTCTCCCAATCTGAAGACTCACCTCACCAATCCAGGGTCTTAGCGTGCGAGCCCTTCCATGGAGGGTTGTATCTGGGTGTTTGGTGCTTCGATGAAGTTAACACGTCTCTTCAGATGTAGAACGACCGCTTCGTGAGTATAGCCATCGGGCTGCGCGGTCTCCCGATAACTACTTTCAAGTTGCAAGAGCAATCGGAAAGAGACGTTGTGTAAACTCGATCACGCTTCTCCGTGATATTCTCAGACAAGTCTAAATAGAGGGCTTGCTCTTTCACTAGTGTAAAGGGCGGAACTCCGAACTCACAGGCGCCAAACGTCACAAAGTGGTAGTGATGTCTGTTTTACGGGGGCGTATTCCACCGTTTGACGGTGGTGATTCATATGTTACTTTTCACTACGAACCAGGCGCACAGTGACGGGTAGCACAGGGGTTGTGAGATTGACACCGTCAAGCGATAATGGAACAAGTGACGCAGAAGGCGGGCATAAGACAAGGGAGAAAGCTTCTCGCGCGCCGGGAGCAAGGGTGACCGGGAGCAAATGTGTGAGCCGCCAACGAGACGGCGTGACAAGATGCGCATACATGACGCTAGGAAGGAGAGCGTTGGCCAAGACCGAGGTAACAGAGCAGGTTGCACGGAAGCGCTAACTGAGCGTCGTGGGTATTCCGGGGTAACGCAGAGAACTCTAATATGCAACACCCGTCTCCAAAAAGACCGACGAGGGCCACGTTCCAGGTGCAGGTTCTTGACATCCTCGGATAGAGAGAACTCGAAGACGCGGGGGTGCGGCGTGCGCACGGACGGCAACGGAAACCCCCTGTGCCCTATTTGTTACCAGTGATCGCCTCGGACTCGGAGAACTCGAGGAAGGCGTGGAAGAGACCTTGCATCATCCCCTAGACAATGCGCGCTCGAATCTTGTTATCGAAGGTCGGGACCGAGGTAGGTCGCCGATCTCATGGTGTCGGAAGCGGTGTCCATGTGAACGAAGGTGAGGGGAGGCTCAACATCAAGGGCTCGCCAGGAACTGAACTCGGAGGCCTACTGAAGAAGTGGAGCTTTAGATTGGGGACTTCGAGAGACAAACATAGGACGATTGGAAGAGAAGATCGCAACAGTAGTCTCGTGGACGGCGGAGGAGAAGGGCTATACGAACCTCCGAGTACAGTCGCGATCGCCACATGAACACGAGGTCATTCCGTAACTGTCTGCCCTGGCCCTCTAATGAGCTCTCGGAAACGTCGGAATGGAACTTGAAGGCGGGGCCAAGGAAATGTTCGAGCGCGTTGAAAAAGAGCGTTGGGAAGTTGATGTTGGTTGGCAGACGGAGGAGAGCACTACGACCGGTCGAAGAAGATGGGCGGTTGGCACAGACGGAGGATAGAGCAGGAGAGGAGAAGTCGCCGCCAAGAGTTAAGGAGACTGCAGACTGCGCAGGAAGCGTGTGGGCGAGGACGCTTGAAGGGAAAGTACTGGACTTTGAAGGACGGCGTGTACGAGCGTACACGACAGCTGCAACATTGAACCCATGTCATTGAACCCATGTCATTGAACCCATGTCATAGCACCGATATCAAACGCATCCTTGAACCCGAGGAGCGAGACACAAAGTGAGTCGAACTCGCTCGTCCCAAGTGGTCAACAGGGCGAAAACTTTCAACTCCTCTGATTCATTATCACGTGGCACAACGTCGCGCGTCTGAGCGGCGACTCGACTACACACGACTTCTTCTGTGTCTATCTCCTCTCGGCTGCTTCTTATCTTGTCCGCTTCCTGACAATATTCTGCTTCAAGTGGCTATCTATGATTTCAACTGGAAGTACAACGGCGAGTCGCTGCTGTGCCACGCCATCCGCAACTTGCTCAATGATTGGTTCGAGGATCTAGACCAGGTCAACTAAATCCTTCCTAACCGACAGAGTTCAGCATTCGCCATAACAGCGTATAGAATGTCGCCAGCAGGCTGATAGGGCGTTTTCCGGGTATGTGCCAGTCCTGATCATTCGTGCCCATGCTGACCTCGTTGACCGAGAAGCTTGGTAACAACTCGATGATAATCCACCTCTGCGACGCACACCACATTGCCGGCTCATCACAATATGACACTTCCTTTGCGCACTCCCTGCCCGAAAAGCTCCCCCACATTAACGTTGTCTCCAAGACCCACCTGGTACAGCAGTACAGGTAACGGTGAGTGGGAACACGTCCACTTGTTGTGTGTTCTTCACGACCCTCTGCCTCTTGATCTCCACCTGTCCTGGCATGATATCCATGTATCCTCGGTCGCTTTGCTCACGCTCACCCTGCGGACCCCGATCGCGACTCCTACACGGAATCCCAGGACATCATACAGCAGTTCTCTGCGATACGCGACGCTCAAGGTGGCAATCTGCTCGCTCGTCGGGGATTTTGGCTTTGTGGGCTTTAAGACGCTCGCCGAGGTGCGTGCCCGTTTTCTCTCCCACCTTCCACACATCCACCTCATTCCCCTCGGTCTATGTGTAACTGACAGCCATTCAGGCTCTATGCTGCGAAGAAAAACACGTCAAGAAAAACACGTCAATGCTCCTTCTCCCGCGCATCATCGCTCATATCCACGGGTCGCATCTTCGCCTTGCTGCTCAGTCGACACTGCAGTCAAGCCCTCATCGGGCACTCGGGTGCGCATATGCCTTGACGTTTGCCGCAGGGCCCATAGGAGGCCACCCGCGGATATGGAGGGCGCGCTGCGGATTGACACCAGGTAAAATGGGACGTGTGGGAGAGTTAGCAGCGAAGGTAGGAACGAGAGACCGTGCACAAGCAGGAAGCGAGGAGGAAGTAAGTGGAATGCCGTGATGGGATTTGAAGGGGAACAGTGGTGCGGGCCGTCGATCATGGTGTTGTCGGTATGTTGACCCTGTATGCTTAAGTGATCAATGCATGCCCATCGTGGTTCGGACTACAGTTGGTGTTTGTGCGCAGTGCATACGCGATGCCGGGCCTGGCACAGGACGGACTAGAAGCGAAGAAGATCCCAGCAAGGTGCGTCAGTGTACCGCGATCTCATCTGCCCCTGTGTCTCAATACGAGCCATCTCTTACGTGGCACATGATACTCACGTTTCCACTCGCCATCTCATCTTTCTACTCGACTCAAGGATAGGGGTTTTGGGATTGGTTCGCTTATCCTCACTTCGTCGGATCCTGAACGCGGGGACCGAGAATAGGTATGCCCTGGGGCTGCCGAAGCGCCCGTCTACGCTCCCACCTGCTGGGGCCGGGCTTCTGCGAGCTTCCGTTCACGGAGGCCGTCCGGGAATTGAGGCTCAAGAGAATCCTGTTCTCGGAGGGGTTACTCCACCTTGTACCCTCATCACGACCGGCCTCGCGCTGATCATCGTGGACCGGGCCGTTGTCACCAGTCATCGTGACTGTCCCACTTGTGCTCGACAGTTCCAGGTGGGCTGTGTCAGTGTTCTGGGTGCGAAGCTTGCAGTCGTGTTGAGGAGGCAGTAAGTTATTCTAGCTTGGTCTCTATGCTTTCCTCGCATCGTGTTAGCTAGTTGAGCCGCGGCCGTCATAAGAGCGAAGCCTTGTTGTGGAATTTCAGTGCAGTGATGAACTCGGTCAGCAGTACATGCGGACCACCGAAGGAGCGCGAGGCAGTCAGGATAGATGACCTGTCGAATGTCATGCCTCAGTGTCCCGCGACTATGTGGCTAGTTGGCCTACATATCGATTTTTTGAGTCTGGCGTAGCGGGGTTGAATTCTGTAGAATGATATGTTACAGTCCTGTTCGCCATCCCTGATCTATGTACAAAGCAAATAGGTATATGGTAGAAAGAGTGCTCCTGTCTGCGGGAGATCCGGCGGTCTAAGAGAAATACACACATCTACACGTGAGTGCACCGCTGCAGACAGGTCTACGAGAATCCCGTGCCTACATTGCATCCTCGAACTCGTCCTCTCCGTCAACATCTTCATGAATTGGGAGCTGGGCTCCCAAAGAACCAATGAAGCGGCTCGTGTTCTTTGACGTTAGGATGGCGGTCATCCTGAACACAGCGTTTCGTTGTAAGTCTAGTAGTGTGCTGCAACGTAGACGTACGGTTCCTCGACAACAGCGATAACACTTGTTAATAGAGATGTAGCGTCTTCAGCGACCTGAGGATTGACAGCAAGGTACAGCCTGAGGCACACTCAGGTGCGGCTTACCCCAGTTATAGTGAACACCATGTGGAGAACGCGAAGCATGCAGGACTCTGTTACTTCTTGATGAGATCGTTGACTGACCTAGACACGGGTGCATGTACTCACATTGAAGTAGATTGTTCCTATAATTGGTGAGTACTTCAATTGATACATGTGTCAGCCTCGAATGAAGGCTTGTACTACCTACCATTCAGGAGAAGAATGCTTGCGAATGTTTTCTTACCAAGGCTACGGAGAGATAGCTTGGCGGTCTCAAATGTTCGGAACCAGGTAACACAGAGAACTACCGAATCGGACGCAATCAAGGAAGATCGCGTCAACACCTCAACTGGCGTGTCTCGCCTCAGAATGTGTCTCTGCTGGACATAAGTCTGTGAAACGTGCACCCACGTCTTCCATCTGCAGCTTCAGAATCACATCAGAGCAATGGCACAGAAAACTTACTTCAGGCATGTGCTCGCCGATATCGGAATAGTGTATATGATGCCCTGTTACGGATCATCGACAATTGACAATCTGTACAGGTTTACCTTCGGGAGGAATATGTATACAGTTCGATTCTGCAAAGGCACGGAAAAAATGCAGAGTACACACCCACATATCCGTGACACCGACGAAAGTGCAAAAACAGTTGCTGAAACAGGCCATCGATAAGGGTTTGGACACAAAGCATATGATCTGAGCGCTGAGAATGCTGTACGACAAGGCGGCTGTCACAATTGCAATTTCCCTAGGGAGCGTAGGGCGGTCACGTACCAGCCCATGGGAGATACTGCAATTCGCTCAACACACTAAATGCAACAAATACCGAAAATGCTCTGGGTATGCGTCAGAACGCATAGTCCAAAGTCTGTGACAATCACTGTATACCTCTGACATACTGTCAAGCATCGATCCATGTATTCTAGACGTAGAAAGACATACCTCAACAGACGAAGGAAATGGGGACGCATAGAGTATTTGCACTGCGAGAGTGATATATCTATCTAGGAGAAACAGGATTGTCGCTCCGGACAGACGGCCTCCTGTCCAGAAGAGTGTTACCTCACTTTGAAGTGAGGATGTAGTCGTAAGCCAATAGTGCTGGGAATATGGATACAATTCGCCTAAGAGTACATTCACGGCGTTGATTGCCTTCATGAGGAACGAACCAGAGGAAGCGTATCCCCAGCAATTTGCGAAGCTAGAGGAAGGTTCAGTGGTTACATAACGTGCAGGGGCTACAGCACTTACAAGACATCGAACGCAGCCTGACTCTCTGAGTTGCTTTCCATACTGAGTGTTTGAGGCGATAGGACGGCAGGGGAAGAGGTATCGTGAAAGGCTGGTAGAGAAGGTGTGTCGCTTGGGTGAAACAGGTCATGACAAGTTTTTATCTACACGCTCCGAGACGCCATTCGTACCTAGGGCCAGAGACCTGCCCACGAGATTCTTCTTCGAACGATGTATCAGCGACATCTGGGGGCGGACCAATGCTAGCGCAACAATGCGCGCTGTTCTGCACCTAGCATTTCCGTCATTCCATCTGCAGAGGCAACTGTATGAAGGTACAAACAGATAGCAGGATCCGCAGATCCGGCACCTGAGTCGGCTAAGCCTGTTGCAGCGTCGAGAATCCTTCTCTACAGCGATCCGAGCTTGCGATGTCTGGATTGGCCAGCTTGGGTGGTGTCGTAACGAGGATGATTGAGACAGATGGATGCGTACCTCGTTGATTGCCATGGCATTGCGCCGATAGAAGAGGATGGTGGCTGAGTACGAACATCATTACTCGTCTTTGTGCTATTGAGTTGAGCAGGACGGGAAACCGCCCTGATGGGATTGTTTCATCAGCTTTGGAAAGATTCCAGATCCCGTGGCTACTCACGTCAACCCCTGGCGGGAAAGCATCACGTCGGATTCTGTCTGTGCAGCTGTGGCCACTGCTGTATCGCGGTCGCAAATCGGCGGACAACTCGGAGCGACATCTATATGCGTTCCCATTGAGTACTAAATTAGCATAAACGCAAGGCTGCGTTTCGGATCGGAGAACGCACTGAGCTTCCAAACCACCAGTACACACTAGATAAATTTTTTGATCCTTATAGTTATAGTAAAACGCGAATTATTTGGCCCAAATGTTATAGTGGCCCTTCCAAATATTTGAGACGGTTGGAGGGATGCCCCTCCCAGATATTCGAGGTGAACCCCAAATATTTGGGATGTATGTATGAGCGAGGGGAGGAGGGTACCCCCCCTCCCAAATATTTGCCAAATATTTAGTCTCAGCGCTACATAGCGCTATGTACACCACCAAATATTTGCGAGATATTTGAGTATTTCCCCCCCTGCGTCCTGAGGCATGGGACGCGGCACACGTCCACACATCCCAATATTCTTCAAATATTCAGTTGGCAGATATTTGGCCACTAACAAATATCTGTCACGCGGCTTTTACCAGCGACAAATATGTGCGCCCCTGCGAATATTTGCACAAATTTCTCGTACCGATGCACCCAAATATATT